CAATTTTCTTAAATATTAGTGGTCTTGTTGTTCATATTCGTTTTCGGAGAGGCAGTTTAATTGCTGGAGGAATCTAGAAAGTAATTTTATGCAAAAAGAAATGAAAATGTTAATAAGAATCAGGAATCCACTACATTAGATTTTTTAAGACAGCGTCCAAACTCCAGTATACAAAGGGTCATACCCCAAAAAAGAGTTCCAAAAACATACAGAAATTGGATTAAAAATGTTACTGACATGTGTTTTAATTAAAAGATAATATTAGGTTAAATCATTATGACTAAAGTATTGAAAGCGTCTTATGTTTCTTTCCGAGCACCGAGGACATAATTTCCTGAACAGCCATCATATATGTACAAGGTGACCTCTACCCCCATACTAACGTACAATATAAGGTAACCCCTGGCCCCTTACTGATGTACTGTACAATATATGGTGACCTCTTGTCCCCTACAGATGTACTGTACAATATGTGTTGTGTTGTACAATATAAGGTAGCCTCTGGTCCCTTACTGATGTACTGTTCAATATAAGATGATATCTGGTAACCCTACTTATGTACAATTCTGTAGACGTACTTTTTTCCACGGGGTCATATTTCCGCAAAATCTCAATTTCTGTTTAAACATTGGGTAGAAAATAACGCAGATTTCTTAGACTGTCACTATATGCATTATAATTTTTATATCAAGTGCGCTTGGACAGATTTCCGCGGAAAATAAGTTACGTTGTACATAGCGTTAATTAATACCACACGGAAAAAGTTCTACATATAAGGTCACCTCTGGCCCCCTACTGATATGCGATATAAGGTTACTTCTGGTCCCCTTACTGATGTACTGTACAATATGAGGTAAACTCTGGTCCACTTACTGATTATACTGTACAATATAAGGTGACCTCTGGTCCACTTACTGATGTACTGTACAATATAAGGTGTCCTCTGGTCCCCCTACTGATGTTCAATATAATATTACATCTGGTGCCCCTACTGATGTACAATATAAGGTGACCTCTGGTCCACTTCTTAAGTATTGTACAATGTAAGGTGACCACTGGTCCCCCTACTGATGTGCAATATAAGGTGACGTCTGGTCCTCCTACTGATGTACTGTAGAATATAAGGTGACGACTAGTCCCCCTACTGATGTACTGTAGAATACCTCTGGTCCCCTACTGATGTACTGTAGAATATAAAGTTACCTCTGGTCCCCCAATGATGTACTGTAGAATATAAGGTGACCTTTGGTCTCCTTATTGTTGTTCAATGTAAGGTGTACTCTGGTCTTCTTATTGATGTTCAATATAAGGTGACATATAGTCTCCTTTATGATGTACATTATAAGGTGATCTCTGGGCTCCTTATTGATGTACAATATAAGGTGTCTTCTGGTCCCCCTGCTGATGAACAATATAAGATGACCTCTGGTCCCCTACTGATGTACAGTATAAGATGACCTCTTGGCCCCCTTAGTGATGAACAACATGAGGTGATCTCTCGTCCCCCTACTGAATGTACAATACATGTATAAGGTGATCTATGGCCCCCTGCTTATGTACAATATAAGGTGACCTCTGGTGTCCTTACTGATGTATAATACAAGGTGACCTCTGGTCTCCCTATTTTATGTACAATGTAAGGTGACCTCTGGTCTCCTTACTGATGTATAATATAAGGTGACCTCTGGTCTCCCTATTTGATGTACAATATAAGGTGATCTCTAGTCTCCTTATTGATGAACAATATAAGGTATCCTCTGGTCCCCCTACTGATGTACAATATAAGATAACCTATGGTCCCGCTACTGATGTGCAATATAAGGTGACCTCTAGTCCCCTACTGAAGCACTGTACAATGTAAGGTGACCACTGGTCCTTCTTCCGATGTACAATATAAGGTGTCCTCTGGCCCCCCTGCTGATGTATAATATAAGATGTCCTATGATCCCCCTAATGACGTACACTATAAGGTGTCCTCTGGTCCCCCTGATGCTGTTCAATAAAAGGTTACCTTTGGCCCTCTATTAATTTAAAATGTAAGGTGACCTATGAACCCTCTAATTATGTACAATGTAATAGTAAGAAAAGGTGACCACTGGTCTCCCTACTGATGTACATTATAATATAAGGTTACCTCTGTTCCCCCTAATTACTTTCACGTTTCTGCTAATATACATATTAGAAAGTAGATCTGTATAAAGTTATAAATATGATTATTTTGGAGTAAGACAAAGAAAACTGTCTATCATATAAAATTCATTTAAAATAAAAGGTGATCTGACGTCTCCGTATTGATATCAATGAATTTACTGTTTTACCTTTAATGCCTGAAGAGTTCCTAAAATGTTTTATTACTACGCAAAATTACAAACTATTTGATGGGGACCCGAGGTCCTAGTTGAGCGTTCGTTTTATCCTTCTGCACAACATTGACGTCATTTTTAGAATTTTTTGTTTACTGATCCCGCATATTTATCCATTGTACTTATAAATAGGAGTTATCTCGCTAATACCACTGTAGTTTTATTCACAGGGCGACAACACAGTGTTTGCTTACGCTATTTCATTGTCATCTGAAGGGAGTTAACAGTTGTCACCCTGCGCGTGAGTGAGACATCACGACTTGTCTCCCTGCACGTGACCTGCTCTAAATCAATCAGATTGACCGTATAATTCTGAAGGATAATAATATCTGTTGTCATATTCTCTGTAAAATGGAAGAAAAACGAAAAACAACCGAGATATTGAAATAAGAATTGTTACATCGATTCGTGTACCAAATTAAGGTTTAAAATTTTGCTATGTTAAAAAGAAATCAACTTGAGAGGATAGGTAGTCCTTATTTAAAACGTCAAAAACGATAACGTTTTAGAACGTCACGGAGCAGCGGATAACGATGCAATTTTGTGTTTTACTCAGGAAAAATCCTGAATAAACTCTATATATGTTTGAGGATTCAAGAAAATATGTCAGAAGTAAGTTGTGCATGTGTGTACAAATAATACAGACAGTATTTGAGTGACAGAGACTCTGTATCGGATGAGGATAATCTGTGAAGAAACGATTTAACTGTATAATTCTGAACAAAACTTAAAAAAGTTTGAACGTCAAGAAAAGACATAGGCGCTTCAGAGTTGCTTATCCTGTGAAAGCAGGGTTATGTTATAAAGAAATTAAAACCTTAACTAAGGAAATTATACAACGAGAGCAGTTCTTAAAAAAAACAGCGTTAAGTATTAGAAAAAGGATTTATTGAATTGGCATTGTATTATACTGTGTTAATTGTATAGGAATAGTATTTTTTGATATTTACATTTGCAAATGGTTTCCTTTATATACCACTACTGAAAGCAAGCATATTTATAACTTTATAAATACAGTTACGGGGTCAAGAGGTCATAGATGTGCGTATGGATAAACGTTCGACGTAATTTCTTAGTCATAAAGGGTCGACGCGAGTTCAGTGGATTACATACATGCCGTTGGGTTTGAAAAAAAATCATTTCACACGTTAAAAGTCACAATCAGGCAAATTTAAAGTATGAATAAGTCACAAATGTAACTATAAGTAATAAGGTATCATTTTTTGAGTTTTATTGGGATGTAAAACGGGTTGGTCACGTGATCAAATCCCATAAAGCCCGAAAGACTTAATGGAAGATCTGATCATGTGCCAACCCGTTTCACATCCCCATAAGACTTTAACAAGAGGCCCAAGGGCCACATCGCTCACCTCTAGGAAAAAACACAAATCAGATCAGAACTGAAAAGTTTACTGAAGGGGGGGGGGGGGGGGGGCTTGAATTTAATACTACTTTAGAATGCCATCATATTAATGCAGCATATGATTTTGCTGTTCTTGATAAAAAGATTTTTCAAAAACATTCTGTTCCTATACTATCACTAATCATGGCTTTGAAGTACTTGAGAAGACGATTTTTATGAAGATTTTTCCTATATATTCCTACGTAAAACTTGGATCATCCATTGTGGCCCGCCCTACCCCGACGATCATGATTTGAACAAACTTGAATCTACACTACCCGAGGATGCTTCCACATGAGTTTCGTCTTTCCTGGCCCAGTGGTTCTTGAGAGGAAGATTTTTAAAGATTTTCCCTATATATTCCCATATAAAACTTTGATCGACCATTGTGGCCCCGCCCTACCCCCGGGGTCATGATTTGAACAAACTTGAATCTAACACTACCTGAGAATGCTTCCAAATGAGTTTCATCTTTCTTGTCCATTGGTTCTCGAGAAGATTTTAAAAGCTTTTTCCCTATACACTCCTATGTAAAACTTTGATCGGCCATTGTGGCCCCGCCCTACCCCCATGGGTCATGATTTGAACAAACTTGAATCTACATTACCTGAGGATGCTTCCACATGAGTTTCATCTTTCTTGGCCCAGTGGTTCTTGAGAAGATTTTTTAATAATGCCATTTTTTTTTCTCTAATTCATTTTTATCTCCCCTTGGAAGAGGGCGTGGCCCTTTATTTGAACAAACTTAAATCTCCTTCACCTAAGGATACTTAGTGCCAAGTTTGGTTGAAATTGGCCCAGTGGCTCTTGAGAAGAAGTAGAAAATGTGGAAAGTTAACGACGACAACGACGACAACAGACAACGGACAAATTTTGATCAGAAAAGCTCACTTGAGCCTTCGGCTGAGGTGAGCTAAAATGATACCTTATTTCTTAAGAAATTCTTGACGCTATGATTTGACGTTACATTGCCGTGAACTGTGCTCCGCGGGTACAAAGCATGTTGATTTTAAAATGAAGTAAATTAATTTATGTCAAATCGAATGGATTGAAACTTCACACATCAACAAAACAAGAATTTTTACATATTATAGTGTGCTTATTTTAAATTTCTGTTGAGTAATATAAAGAGGATTGAAATCTTCCACGAACGTTCGTATTAGAAATTTTTTGTACTTGTCCTTGCCAGCAATAAAGGCAAAAAACCCCTCTTAATTTTCCCATTGTGTTTTCAGCACCATGGATATATGTAAACTACTGGGGTTTGTATTATCAATTGTGGCAGTTGAAAATCAAAGTACTACCTCTAAAAGCTCTTTCTCTGTAAGAGGACTGAGTGCAATGGTTAGAGCCCACAATACAGAGATCAAGATTATGAAACAACAAATTCTAGAACAAAAGCGTTTAATCGAGAGTTTGCAGAAACAAGTGGAAGCAGGGAGTTTAAAACCGAGTGAGTATTTAACCATTAAGTGGTGCTTAAATATTAACTGGTTATACAAGATGTGTATTATTTTAGAAAAAATTCTGTTTATGTAAAATGTTTTTGTAAGGATGTAAACATTGACTCTTAGATACACAAAAAGCTTCTAGATTTTCAACATTTTGAGAAAAAATATTTAACATTAAAAAAAGGAATTTAGTCAGTTTTCTGTCATGAATGTATAATGAATCCTACTGTAAATTCTAACTTGTAAATTAATAATAATATTAGCATTACTGAAACATAAAAAACATTAACAAAATCACATACTAGTATAATGCTTCGTTATTAAAGTTTGATTTGTTACACCCTGCTCATTAGACAAAGGACGAGCCAGTTACTAATTGAGAAATTCATCTTCAGGCACAAAAACAAAATCAGTAATTAAAATACATGTACCTGATATACATGGACTGTATGTTCACAGTGGTAGATATAGCAGGAGACTTTGATGACCATTATATAGAACGGAACCATATAACTCTGCTTATTTGCTTGGAAACTTTTTTGATTTAAGAAATAAACGTAATATTTTTTCCTTTGATCGATGTATGAAAGAAAAATTGGACGGAAAATTTCATCAATGCGCATTGATGAAAAAGTTTTCCGTCCAATTTTTTCTTTTATAACTCATACATCGATCAAAGGAAAAAAATTATATTCATTTATTATCATTTAATTATGATTTAAAATAAACACAAGAGGCCCAGGAGCCACATCGCTCATCTGAGTACATCAGCTAGGAATTTGCAGAAATAATCAGATCAGAATACAAAAGTTTTCTGAGGGGGTGGGGTTGGCTTGAATTCTAATACTATTTGATAATATAAATGCATATAACTTCTTGAGAAAAAGATTTTTATAGATGTTTTAAAAACATTCTGTTTGTACATTGTATATATTACTTTGTTATAATTTGAATTCGATTCCCCATTGTTTCCCTCCCGACCCCAAATGGTACTTATGATTTGAACAAATTTAAATCTTCAATACATGAGAATGCTTATATGTCAATATGACTTAACATAGCTTTCTGTTATTGAGATTTTCCCTATGTTTTACTATGTAAAACTTTGATCCACCATCGAGACCCTTCACTACCCTGGGAGGTTATGATTTGAACAAATTTAATTCTATACTACCTGAGGATGCATCCATATAAATATCAATAAACATGACTTTGCTATTCTTTAGAAAAATATTTTTTAAAATATATCTCAATGTTAAACTTGGATCCCCCATTGTGGTCCCACCCTGTCCCTGGAGGGTTATGATTTGAACAAACTAAAATCTTCATTATCTGAGGATGATTCCATAAAAATATAACTAATCATGGCTTTGCAGTACTTGAGAAGAATTTTTTTAAAAAGATTTCCCTATATATTCCTATGTAAAATCTTCATCGCCCATTGTGGCCCCGCCCTACCCCCGGGGGTCATGATTTGAACAAACTTGAATGTACACTATCTGATTCTTGTCTGTCCCAGTGGTTCTGAGAAGAAGATTTTTTAAGATTTTTCCTATATATTCCTTTGTAAAACCTGGGTCGGCCATTTTGGCCCCACCCTAGCCCCGGGGGCCATGATTTGAACAAACTTGAATGTACACTACCTGAGGATGATTCAACATGAGTTTTATATTTCCTGTCTCTATGGATCTTGAGAAGAAAATTTTTAAATATTTTTCCTATATATTCCTATGTAAAACTTTGATCGGCCATTGTGGCCTCACCCTTACCCCGGGGGTCATGATTTGATCAAATTTGAATGCACACTACCTGAGGATGATTCCCAATAAGTTTTATCTTTCCTGGCACAGTGGTTCTTCAGAAGAAGATTTTTAAAGATTTTTCTGATATATTCCTAGGGAAAATGTTGATCGGCCATTGTGGCCCCACCCTATCCCCGGGGGTCATGTTTTGAACAAACTTTAATATACATTGCCTAAGGATGATTCCACAGGAGTGTCATCTTTCCCGGCCCAGTGGTTCTTGAGAAGAAGATTTTTTAAAAAATGCCATTAATTTTTCACTAATTCAAAATTATTTAACTTTGAAAGAGGGCGTGGCCCTTTATTTGAACTTGAATCCCCTTTATCCAGAGATACTGTGAATGCATTCCTCGGTATTCAAGTATACTCGCACTATTGTTTAAAAGGTGCAATCGTGACACACAGGGCGCTGTATTTACAATAAAAAACAAGGAATTTACAGGAACTGCCAGGCTCTGCTTGGAGGCTTCAAGCGAGTTTACTTGGGACACTGCAGCCGGGGGAGGGGGGATGTTCCAAAGCCTGATGCTGCTTGGGAAGAAGGAGTACTGATAGGGTTGTAATCTGGCATGTGAGATGAGAAACTTTGTTGTATGGCCTCGGGTGCAACTGCCAGCGTGTATATGAGCATGATTCCCTTTGCTCTTGTTTTGCGGAGTTTCAGGGTTTCCCATGAAAGAGCGTTCAGCATCGTTTATACGCTACTTGTGCAATGGTATATTCCAGTCACAAATCTAGAAGCACGTCGTTGTACCATCTCAACCACATTGATTATTCCAGCAGTGTGGGAATCCCAGACTGTAAATGCGTACACTAGAGTAGGGTGGACATGGGTCTTGTAGCCTGCTCCTTAGTCTCCTTGTTACACATATTGATGTTTCGTCTGAGAAAGGCTAAGGTCTGATTCGCCTTCTTGGTTACACTGTCTACATGGGTGTTCCAAGACAGTTTCCTGTTGATGGTTACTCCCAGGTACTTAGTGTTGTTAATATGCTGTAGGGTGTGGCCTTGGATGGTGTAGCCATATTGGACTGGGTTGCGCCTATTGGAGATCGTAATGACGTCACGTTTCTCACACTTCGTACTATAATTCATTCTTCAGGAAATATTATTAGAACGAATTATTCAAAAGTCTGCTATTCAATAATGGATTATCAAGAAAAGACCAAAATATGATCGATTTATTTAAAAAAATCATTAAATCACAGGTACATTGGGACAGAAATAGTGAAACCCAATGAAAGTACGTATTGTAGATATTTATTTGTATAAATTATGTTCCCTGTTCAGGGTAGGGAAGCACAATAAGGAGTCGAGTTTGTGCATATGAATATATAGAAAGAAGACTTTAAAAATCATTTATAAAAAATCTTCCTCTCAAGAAGCATTGAATCAATATATATAAACTTTAAATGAAAGCTTCCAGACATTGATTAGATTGTATTTTGTTCGAATCATGATCTTCGGACATGCGAGTGGCTCAAATCAAAATGGAATTTGGGGAAACAAAAATAAAAAATTCTTTAAAATTGAGACAGAAACGGAGAATATTTCTAACGGTGTGTATTTTCAAAATTGTTCAAATCATTTCCGCAGAGGTAGTGTGTGCCTAACAATAAGAGATCAAAGTTTTACACAAGAAATCTTACCTTTGATCAAGGAGGGGTATATAAGTTTGTTATGATTAATATCAAATTTATCTTAAATTATTACTGTTTTTAATTTCTCAATTATTCACATATTACAAGAAAATAGCTATACAAAAGTTTAACTGTAATATTTGAAAATCGGAAATTCTATGCCATGATTCCTTTCCACAAGAAAATATCTGAAGTTGAAGTTTCTTGTTATCTAATGCTCGAAATTCTAAGGTATTCATTTATTCCTAGAAATTCGACTTGTGAATGGGAATTCTTCAAGAGAGGGAAGGGTGGAGGTCTACAAGGATGGAGTCTGGGGTACAGTGTGTGACGATATTTGGGGTTTTAACCATGCTGATGTGGTCTGTAAACAACTATTCGGATTAGTTGGGTAAGTGGCTATATATATAACGCGCAATTCCATATATATATATATATATATATATATATATATATATATATATATATATATATATATATATATATATATATATATATATATATATATATATATATATGAATGTTAATGTATTAATATTCCATTATTTTTCTTTTTGACTGTCACATTTCAACTTTTTAGGGATACTACAAATGAAATAAAATATTGAAAATAAGAATTTAAAAGAGGTCTTATATATATATATATATATATATATATATATATATATATATATATATATATATATATATATATATATATATATATATATATATATATATATATAGTAATACCTTTGATCGCAGGAAATTCTCAATAATGTATAATGAAGTAATTTTAGATTGTATAGATTTCTCAAGGCAAAAGCACTGAAGAAGAAATATAAAAATCATACATTGTACAGAAGTGAAATTTCTAAATTTTTAAAACTTAATATCTGCATCATTTAAAACTGAATTACCCCAAAACAACTTTATACCATTCCATTGTTTTATACAATGTGTTCTCCATTTTTTTTTTAAACAATGATTTTGCATTTTAATCATGAATTGGTTATGAAAGATTTCAACAGAAGAAAAGTGCTATAGTGTTACCATTTTTTTTTGTATAGAATTTTAATTGAAACGGTTATCTCAAATATTGCATTAATGACATGTAATATTATATTATTCTCGATTTTGTTCATGCTCTGACAGACCTCATGTGGCCCTCTTTTGAATCGTCATAATATCGATACTATGAAAAAATAACTATTTGGGTAACATTTACTTAATTATGGCTATGCAAAGTTTGGTAAAAATTGGTTGAATGTTTTCAATGTTATGAACATTTTCTTGGACATTTTGGGACAAATCCTCGTATATACCAGGGTAGCCTTATTTATCATTATGTGATAAACATAATGATTTAACTATTGTTGTGTTAATACAGTCATGCATATAGCAAATGAACAGAATTACAAGGAGGAGTGCAAATATACATAGAGCAATTATTTCAAAACAGAATTCCGTACAGTAACGCATACTTTGGACCTGGAACTGGTTTAATACTTATGTCTAATGTGAGATGCAGTGGTACAGAGAATTCCCTACTGGATTGTGGACATACAGATGAATTAAATCTTGGCTGCAGTCATAGTGAAGATGCAGGTGTTATGTGCATGAAAGGTAAAACAAATTGATCTCTTAGGAAATTAAAGAAATGGATATTCAAATTATGGAATACAAAGAATACGAATAACAAAACAAATTAATTAAATATATAATGCGAATAGAAAATATAGAATTAAAACGTAAAATTATGCAATTTCAATTATTTTTTCAATGCAAAGGGAAACTATATCATACATATGAAAATATATATATTTCAAACGGAAAGTTAGACAATAAAAATTATACAATACAAATGAAAAACTTTACAATTCAAATAGAAATTATACACTACAAATGGAAAGATCTAATATAGCAACGTTTGGCATGTCATACAGATTCATTTTTTAAATTAAATATATTAAAAATATTCAAAATTTGACATTAATTTTGATTTTGAAGAATTTCTTCCTTAGATAAAGAAATATGATTATAGGTTGGAATTTTACTTGCAGAATTAAAAGTTCCTCCAAAATACATTTTATTTTTTGAGCCTTACAAACAAAGAAAATATTGTTAACCGCTTTTTCTGTAATCATATAATCTTATTCTTTTTCACTTCTGGATTATTGAATACAGAAGGATAGATGGTTTTCATATTTTCTTTCTTTTTTTATTCATTTTGAATTTGCAGCACCCCGTGTTCGACTTTCGAAACAAAAAGACTTTCAAGGAAGAGTGGAAGTTTACAAGAACAATAGATGGGGGACAATTTGTGGCAGGAACTGGGATTATAGAGACGCTAGCGTCATTTGTAGATCTCTAGGGTATAGCGAGTAAGTTGAAATAGCTTTATTTTAGAAAGACAGAGCTTAAAATAGCTTAGAAGAGGAAAATATTAATTAAAAATAATTTTTGTAGAATAACCATAATTTTTTAGCCAATAAATGGGGATATAAGGTAATATTTATTTGCTTTTCTTATTGATATATTAGCAAGAATAAATTGATTGGTTGCAAAACTAAATAAAATAGCTATATAGGTAATTAATAAAAAGAAAAAGGAAAGTAATTCAACAGCTGTCCAATATTTATAAATGTATATTCGCAGGTCAGCCTTATAGGTCTACGAAACAAGACTATCAAGAGGAGAACTTTGGCAATTTATATAAACTTGAGTTAGTTTAGTATTTTTTAACCTTCTGTATCAAGACTTAAACTTTGATTGCCCACAAACATTCTCTCCGCAAATAATTAATATCCATAGTCCCTTTGCATAACGACTATATAGAGTATCAAAATAAGCGTTAGCTAACTATAGCTATTTTACAAAATCATCGTATTGCACTGCATACAAGGTAAATTCTACAAATATTGGAAATAGTTCTTTCAAAGCCAGAGCAACAAAGTTATATGATGTAGAGCATATTATTTTTTATGCTCTGAAAGTTGCAATCAAAAGTTATAATGCTAAATTCCTTGTATTTTATTATTTACAAACTTTAACGTTTATCAATACATGCTATTTATTTTATGCTTTCTTTTACAAGACGCGGACTAGTTGTTTTAAATTCAGTATTTGGAGGAGGTACAGGCACAATCCATTTAAATGACGTTCAGTGTAGTGGAAAGGAAACTGGACTTTTTAACTGTACATACTCAGAAACAAGTAGTTGCAGTCACTCCGAAGTTGCTGGAGCTATATGTATTCTACCAAGTCGTAAGTAAATTTTCTTCTTCTTTAAGAGCATTGTGGAGTCATAAAAAAATAAATGAAGCAATCTTTAAAAGTGTTTTACTTGCTCTCTTCCGACTGAGGATAAAAAACGTGGTAAGTAGCTTATTAAAATTAGATATCGTCAATCAGAAACTCAAGCATCTTCTTGATGTCAACTTCAGACTACTTGTGTGTACAATTAGAATCTTTTTTAACAAAATAATTTTGCAAATGACCAATGACAAGGTAAGTAAATTTACGAGTTCCATTTTTATTGAAAAGGCAGCTGTCAAGGACAAAAAGCCTGGATTTTAATTTATCGTGGGGGTTGGTTGTCTTTAAAGATGAAAGTGGTAGGTTTTCAAGCTGTTGATTTTGGTAAAATTGTCCAAATGTTCATTTGATTTTTTTTGTATTCACATTTGATTCACACCACTTCTTGAATATATGGTTGCACAATACTCTTGAAGTTTTTCCTCCACTACTGTCAATATCTTAGTGAGAAGTAACGAAAGAGGCTTGGTTGAACATTTACTGGAACCTGCAATGTATCTTTGTTTGTAAAGATTCTTATGAAGTTTTGGAATCCAATATATATA